TGGCAACAAGAAAAATTCTATTCTTGCCAATGGGACGTCCTTACACAAACTTTGGCGTAGCCAAACCAAATTTTGTAGCCAGATGTATCATGGCAATAAGAACAAAAATGTATATTAAAAACTGGAAGTCTGCCATCTAGGCGCACGCAAGGGCCGATCATTGCCACTTGCGGCTATATTTCTTCTTGTGTCTGTGATGTGTGCGTTTTGTGACATGTTTAAAAATTACTTAAGACTTAAAAATCTTGTAATGTGTGGTGGCCTTTACATGGATTAAAGCTCACGAGAGTCAAGTTTGTGCAATATAGGACCTTTAAACATTGCAGATTCCAGCCTAATCTTAACCAGACCCAGGGTCTTCTACGGCAACACACACTTCATGGTTTACCTTTGTTATTTGTTTTTATGCCATTGTAGGCTACATGTTGACAGTTAAATATGTTTGTGACAACATGTTTTAAACTGCAAATCTCCCTATGCAAGCAGGGTAGAGTACAGACAACACATACTGTCGATACTTTCACATTAGGACAACTTAAGAAATGCATTAGGGATTCAATCTTTGAAGTTCTAATAAATGTAAAAAAAAATGAAATGAACTTCACCTTTGTTACATTCCACTACTGGTAAAATGTTATTAAAGATAAAGTACTCAAGATGTGTGTAGAATCCCCCAGTCGTCCAGGTAGGATCCATTGATAACAATTCACACCACCCACTGCAGCACAAACTTGGAGAGAAAGGAGAAAGAAGAACAACATGTGCAGAAAGCCCTCTCTGTGTGGATATCCTAAATGGGCTTTCAATAGAACAAAGAGAGCAAAAAACAAGACAACAAGGAATCAGAACCCAGGAGAGAGGGTGTAACTATTCCTTACATGGCTGGTGTTTCTGAAAAACTACAGAGGATTTTCAGACAACTTGAGATACCAGTCTATTTCAAACCTACAAACACTGTAAGACAGAAACTGGTCTACCCAAAGGACAAAACACTGAGCCACAAACAAAGCAATGTGCTCTACTCCATTAAGTGTTATGAAGGCTGCAGTGAGAGAAATAATTGGAGAAACAAAACAGCCACTTGAGGATGTGACAACACAGATGAGAGAGCAACACAGGACCTCAGTCAGCTGTACATCTCCACCTAAAAGGACCTTAGTCTCCCATACATCTCAACTTAAAAGCCACAAGCCACTCCTTTGAGAATAGTGAGGTACAGATATTAGCTAGAGAAAATAATTGGTTTGAGAGGGGAGTTAAAGAGGCTATTTTTATTAGGAAAGACAATCCACCTTTGAATAAAAATGGAGGCCTCAGACATCATCTGTCTCCCATCTTTAACTCCATCATCAAACCTAAAACAAAGCGAACAATAGGGATAGCCAGGTCGTGGCCAGAGGTGTGAAAACACTCATTATGGGACTGAATAATTATGCTAATATGACCACACATACACACTCACTACAGTTGAATAGGCCTAGCTAATAAACAGAAACTGTAAACAAGCAGATGCGTTAGTTTCAGAGTAGTTTCAGTGTAGTTAGCTCCTCTCTTCAGGCAGATATAAGGCAGCGTCTATCACCGTCTGACCAGAACTAAATAAGCAGTTTGGATGAGCTGTGAAATGTTCTTGACTGAAATAAACGTTTGTCCATTTGACAAATTTAATTTCTCCTATGCCATGAAGTAAAAGTAGTACTGTACTGAAGTAGAGATTTTAGGTATCTGTTCTGTACTTAAAGGTGCAACCAATATATCTTCAAACCAGACCTGTAACCAAGTTACAGGTCAGATCTGTGGAGAGGTATCACGGCTCACAGTCAGAATGTCTGTTTCTCCAATGTAACACTCATTCTTTGTTCGATGTATTCTCCCAGAGTCCAGCTCTCCCATCCTGCCTACTTCCTGTTTTCTTCATGCTGTCTCATGGAGTATTGAGAGCAGTGTCAGAGAGGCGTTGCTTAGTGAAGTTCCTCTGAATGGATCACCTAATTGTCTGTTGAGCTCAGAAGTAATTTTTTGGGCATATTCCTATTTCGTCTCCTGCCATCCTGGTGTGCAAATAACTCTGTTTAGAGTCAGATACAGGTTTTGGTGGCCTAATATGTAAAATTAGATAAAATAATTTGTTGCAGCCCGTGATGCGTGTTGCCTCAACAAGAACAAGTCTTCCACCTTCTCTGCCTCTGGACTCCTGCACCCTCGGCCCATGCCTTGTCATCCTTGGTCTGACATTTCCTTGGATTTAGTTACTGGATTGCCCAGCTCAGATGGTAATACCACCGTACTCACTGTTGTCGACAGATTTTCTAAAATGGTCAAATTTATACCATTGCCTAAGATGTCTACTGCCAAGGAGACAGCTGAGGCACATCTAACCCACATCTGTCGAGTGCCTGGTTTTCCCAGGAATGTGTTCTCTGATTAGGGTACACAGTTTGTTGCCCAGTTCTGAAAAACTTTCTGCCATCTTCTCGGAGCTACTTTGAGTTTGTCTTCTGGTCACCATCCCCAAACCAATGGACAGACTGAACGAGTCAATCAGGTTCTAGAGACTGGACTGCACTGTCTTACCTCCCTGAATCCTTCCTCGTGGAGTAAGGTGTTAGTATGGCTCAAATATGCTCACAATAGTCTGCCTAATGCATCCACAGGGCTGCCCCCCTTCAAATGTGTTTTTGGTTATCAGCCGCTTCTGTTCCTAGTTGATGTGCTCTCTGCCCAAACTCTCATTCATCGCTGCTGTCACACTTGGTCAAGGGCTTGCCACACCCTGCTTCAGAGTTCGGGTGTTTATAAAAGGGCTGCAGATCAGAAGAGAAGGGCTGCAACCACCTACCTAGTTGGCCAGAAGTTCTGGCTGTCTACGAAGGACCTACCACTGGGGGTAGAGTCTCACAAGTTGGCCCCATGCTTCATTGGTCCATTTCCAGTATCCTCCTGTAGCTATGAGGTTACGGCTTCTAAGATCTATGCGTGTCCAATCCATCCTACCATTCACGTCAGCCATCTGAAGCCAGTCAAGGAAAGCTCTTTGGTTCCTACCTCTAAAGAGGCAAGGACCAAAGGGTAGGGGCAGAGGGAGGGTAAGGGCAGAGGTTTCCAATATTTGGTTGACTAGGAGGGTATGGCCCTGAAGGGAGGTCATGGGTCTTTGCAAGTAACATTCTGGATCCAGACCTTATTAACGACTTTCATCATCACCACCCTCAGGATCCTGGGCCATCGGGTGCCGGCCCATAAAAGGTGGGGTACTGTCATGTCCTGTTTGTTTCCCCTTTTATTTTGAAATTACTTACCTTGTTTCTGTTACAGATTTACTTCCGCCCTCATGGTCCCACCTTTGATTATTGCTCCGCCCTAATGTGCTGCACCTGAGTTCCATTAGCTCCCCTTTTTAATCTGTGGCTTCCCTTCCCCATTTGTCAGATTATCTCTCTGTGTATGTATGTATAGCTCTGTGATTATCTCTCTGTGTCTTTATGCATATGCTGTGTTTTTTGAGCCTTTTTGGAATTATTAAATCTAGTGGCGGGCGTCAGGGCCTGCAAGGCCTTCTCTGCTGGCCTAAAAAATATATATAAATATCTGAATCACAGACTGATGTTAATTATATTATTATTATTAAATAATTCCAAATGGTCTGTCCACTTCCTTTCAGAGCTTCTCCGACGGCTGTGCTGCTTCCACACATGTATTTTCATATTAAAGTATTTGACCAGCTGTCACTTGTTGTCAGGCAGGGCCAAAGTCAAAGAAGTCTGCCTGATGCCTTCACATTCCCTTCTGCAGGCCGTTGAACACAGAATAAATGTCCATGAAACTGTTGCTTCAACCAATCAATTTTGAGTTAGTGAATCGATTCAGACCCGCTGATTGGACAGTCAGAGAGCGAACCAGGCAAAGCAGCAAATTGCATATGTAGCGAAACAAGGACTAGACGAGGTCTAAACCAGGACTACACCAGGTCAAAATCAGGAATAAACCAGGACTAATTTTGGACTTTAGAGAGAGCGAGAGAGAGGAGTCCCGAAACAACTGAGCAGGGTGTCCGCAAAGGGCAATCAGATGACAGCTGCACTGAGCCTCGTGTGGCGTGGAGCCCTGTGCGGCACGGAGCCCCGGCCCCACCACGGTCCTTTCATCTGCGGCCACCCGACAGTCTACATGGGTACACCTTCGGCCTGTCCCGACAGTCCTGGTTTAGTTCTGGTCTAGTCCTGATTTAGCAACCCAGTGCTCCTCACTTCTCCATGCATGGAGTCTCCACTGCCCTTTATACTGTATTTCTGTATAATAAGATGCTTTTATAACCATAAAATAGTTATTGAGGAGTGGATTGTTTCAGATGGAGCACTACTTAAAGCCTAGGTGTGAAATGCAAGGCCCGCCACTGATTAAATCTGTTAAATCTTCTCCGTGACTCTGGGTCTTTTTGGAGCCAATTATTTGTATTAACATTGACAACATTGTTTGTGGCTCGGTGTTTTCTCCTTTGGGTGGACCAGTTTCTGTCTTAATGTGTTTGTAGGTTTAAAAATAATAAAAACAAACTCAGGAAAAACAAACTATCTATTCAGTTGTTCCTGTTGAACAAAATTTAGCACAAATCTGTATCAAAATCAGTCAAGCTTTATTAGATCTCAAAATCTGTTTGAAATACTTTAGTCTTTAAGTAAATTTTTAACAGGCACTTGTAGTACATTTACTCCAGTAAATTTTCTCATGTGATAATTGTACTTGAGTATTTCTTTGCTCCTATATCTGTACTTTTACTTAAGTAACAAAACTGAGTACTTCATCCACTATTGCCTTTATTAGAGAACTAAGGCAACACCCACTCCACTGTGGGTGGAGGATTTGCCCTGGTGAGTGTGCAGAGTTGGGTCCCCTGGGTGGAGCTCTGCAGTCAGACTGTGTTGCAAGGACCAGACTCCTCCCTCAGTTCTCTTCCATATAAAGAGCATGTGACTGCACTTCCTATTGTATCAGAGTGAGAGATGGCACTGAGCAGGAAAGTGGCACTGGTGACCGGAGGGGCCATGGGCATTGGGCATGCCATGGTGGAGGAGCTGCTCACCAATGGGGCCAAGGTAAAACATGTGTCTGTGCGTACTGGAGCAAAAAATATTTAAGTGAAAGTATCATATGAAAAATTTAAGTAAAAGCAATAATGCACCCATTTAAAACTAGTACAGATACCTAAAATGTATTGCTCCTACTTTTACTTTGTTATGTTCTAGCACTAAGAGTATGAGTCAAACATTAATCTGTGTCTGTCTGTACAAGTCTGTACAAGAGTATGGGACAAGCCAGGGCTGGAATGTAACTCATTGCAAATACTCATGGATTCTCATAGGATTCTTTGAGTATCCTAATAGTACTTTTTGAGTAGATTTTTAAAACTGTATTTGACTTGTTCTTGTAGTCGAGTAAAATTATCACCATGTAATTGTAAACAGTTTTTCATTTGAAGTCATAAATATTGACTACAACACAAGTCCCCATTGCCCCAGTGCACATCTGTCTCACAGCTGTATCTGATCCTCACTGAAGCTTTTGTTTCATTCATACGTTAACACACAAACCCTGCATATTTAGGCTTTCTTCTCTCCAACAGAAAATACTCTTCCGCCTTGTGATGTTATATACAGGAAGTGTGCAAATTTCTATACACCTTCACTGGAATCATTTGGATAATTTCAGCCCTGGTATTGCCAATTTCTACTGAACTAAAACTACTGCTACATGACTTCACAAGGTGGTACAAAGCATTTGAGCTTTGGAGATGTAGTCAGATTAATAATAAAGGATTTCTCAAACATGTGTGAATGAAACAAAACACAACTCCAGGTCTGTTTATGAGGAGGTGCCAATATTCTAACATGGCTTAAAGCTCACAAGTTAATTGTGTGTAATATAGGACAAATCAACTAAATATAAAATAAAATTTATATAAAATACTGATCTAATATGCTGTAAAAATCTGTAATATTGTCAGTAGTATTTTTCATGTGTACTTTTAACTTTCACTTCAGTACATTTTTTTTGGCAATGCATTTACCGGGATTTGTTTTTTAGCCATGATGGAACTGTGCTTTACATTCACCACTTCACAAAACATCTCTGTCTGTAGTGTACATGAGGGATGTCTCTGGGATGAACTGTCTTTAGTAGTAGTGACTGGAGTATGAACAAAACTGCACAGCACACACTCAAATCACCAGTATCCCAAACAGCTTTCTAGATTCGTTATTATTAAAATTACATTTAGCCCATACATGTATATAAAAAAGGACATGGCTAACCGGCTAGCTGCTGTGTTCCAAATTGAGGATTTGCGTGTGATGTGTCAGTCGTGTGTTTTAATGTTTTGGTGGCCATACTGGAGGCCAATACTGGGATTATTCAGTTTATTTCACTATAATCATGGTTACTTTAAACAGCACAAATTACATAAAACTGTCCAAAATCGCCAGCTCAGATCAGCGTCATTAGAAAGGTATAAAGCTAAAGTCATCCTACTGGGTTGTGGAGTAGATCCCGATCAAGTTCCGATGGAGCGCTTTGTCAGTCTAATCAACACTTGCTTTGTGCCCAACTTTTAGTATCTAGATATTTAATTCATTTGACATTGCCCTAAACCAATCAAGAACTAAAAAGCTACACAAGGTTAGAAGCTTATAAATATTTTGTATATTTATAAGCTTTTTTTGACTCCCACATCTGTTTCTGGGGGTCAAAATCAGAGCCAGAGCTACCCAGGATTGTGGAAATAGAGGGCAGGATGGGGGGGATTCCTTGCCAGAGAAAGTGAGAATGGGGAGGATTTTGCGCCAGTACACTGACGAGAAAAATACTTTTGGTATACAGTCGTGGACAAAATTGTTGGTACCCCTCTGGTAATGAAAGAAAAATCATCAATCATCACTGAAATAACTTGAAACTGATCAAGGTTCTTTATTTGTCATTCAAACATGCGAGAGAAACACATGACAGAACAAAATGTGCTCCCCGAGGCCCAGTGATCCAGAAAGAGATAAAAACAATAATAAATAAGCAATGTTAAAAAATAAATACATTCAAAACAACAACAACATTTAGCAGTCCAATGAACAAGTAGTAAAACGTGGCAAGATAGAGAGGCAACCTAAGCAGGAAGTCAGTGTGCACTGTTCACAAGTCTGACAGCCTCAGGAAAGAAGCTGAACTTCAGCCGAGATGTTCTGGCTTTAATGCTCCTCAGTCTCCTCCCAGAGGGCAGAGGAACAAACAGGTGGTGGGAGGGGTGCGAGGGGTCCCCCATCATCCTGGAGGCCCGTCTTCTGCAACGCTCCTCATAAATTTCACTGATGGGTGTGTCACATCCAGTGATCTTCTCTGCTGCTCTGACCACACGCTGTAGAGCTTTCCTGTCCTGGGCTGAGCAGTGGCCGTACCACACTGTGATGGACTGGGTCAACACACTTATAAAAGCAATAACAAATAAAAAAATTACTGAAAATTGTCTAATGAAAATCAAACATTGCTTTCCACCTGTGGTTAAACAGAATTATTAGGAAAAAAAACAGAATTATTAGAAAAAACAAAATAATGAAACTGGCCTGGACAAAAATGATGGTACCTTAACATAATAATTTGTTGCACAACCTTTTGAGGCAAACTCTGCAAACAAACGGTTTCTGTAACTGTCAATGAGACTTCTGCTTTGGTCAACTGATATTTTGACCCACTCCACGTGAGCAAACTGCTCTAGTTGTCTCAGGTCCTTCACCAGATAGCATCTTTTAGCTCATTTCACATATGTTCAATAGAATTGAGATCTGGGCTCACAGACCACTGCAGAACAGTCCAAAATTTTGTTCTTAGCCAAGCTTGGGTGTTTTTAGCTCTGTGTTTTGGTCATTCTCCTGTTGGAAGTCGAATGGCCTATGACTGAGACCAAGCTTTCTGACACGAGGCAACACATTTTGCTCCAAAATACCTTGATAGTTTTGAGATTCCATTGTATTTTGCACAGATTTAAGACACCCTGTGCCAGATGCAGCAAAACAGCCCCAGAACAAAACAAAACCTCATCCAGGCTTCACAGTAGGGACAGTGTTCTTTTCTTGGTGTGTTTCATTCTTGCGTCTGTGAACATAGAGCTGATGTGTCTTGCCAAAGAGCTCCAGTTTTGCCTCATCTGTCCAAAGAACATTCTCCCAGAAGCTTTGTGGCTTGTCAATCTGCATTGTGGCAAATTCAAGTCTCACTTTTTTATGATTTTCTCTCAACAGTGGTGTCCTTACATGAAGTCCACTTTGGTTCAAACAGTGATGGATGGTGTGATCTGACACTGATGTACTTTGCCCTTTAAGGTCACATTTCATTTCTTTGAAGGTTCTTCTGGGCTCTTTGGTTCCATTTGTATGATCCATCTCTTTAATTTGTCATAAATGTTCCTCTTGCGGCCACATTCAGGGAGGTTGGCTTCAGTCCTGTGGACTTTAAACTTCTGAAGAACATGTGTAACTGTAATCACAGGAACATCAAGCTGCTTGGAGACTGTCTTATTGTCTTTATCTTTAACCTGCTTGTCTATCATTTTCTTTCTAGTCTCCTGACACAGTTCTCTTCTTCACTTTCTCTGGTCCATGTTCAGTGTTGTGTCCATCATATCTCCAAACAGCACAATGACACATGTCCCCCTTTAAACAGACAAACTGACTGAGGACAAGTTTAAAGAACCTGTGATGCAGATTAGAGACACACCTAAATTGAACATGTCCCTATTGTCCAATTACTCACAATCTTTTCTAGGGGAACCATCATTTTTGTCCAGGCCAGTTTCATTAGTTTGTTTTTAGTGTCAAGTTATTTCCGCAGCCAAAATTAGTTTTAATCAACTCATCATTGTATTTAGTTTAGAAGAATTTCTATGGAACAACAGCAGGAAGGAGAAGTAAGTGAGTTGAGTAGCTGAACATTATTAACGTTAATGTTATTTTTAGGCATTTCTATGTAAAAGGTCAGATTAAACTCAAGATTCACAAGTTGAATCTGTCTTTATATAAATTCATTGTTACTTTTTTCTGCATTAATTAGGGGTGGGCAATATCTCGTGAGATAGTTTTTAAACTTGATATGGATTCTGACATATATATATTGACATAATGCTAATATTAAATTCTGATTTTGCCACTTCACTTGTTTGCCTTCTCTGTGCACGTTCCCGCGTGCCCTCGCCTCCTTGATTTTGCTCACTTGTTTCTCATTCACTACCACCGTGAAAGCCCAAAGTTGGTGCCAGTGAAAAGTTTCTAGCACCACAAATCTTTTTCACCATTTACAGACAAGACCATCAGCAACACATCCACTGTCACAGAGAGAACACTCATATTCCATTGAGTCGTGTCCTTTAGTTTGAAAGAAGCTGAAAGCATCAGCAGCACAAGGAGTGCACTGTTTATGCAAATTAGCCATGTGCTTTTAAGTTTTGTTTCTGTTAAACATAAACACATGTGCGCAAAACTGCATTAAACACATGATAATGTCAAACAGGCCGATGTGGCTCGTAGTTGTTATGCTTTAAATGTTGTAAAGTTTAGTAATGTAAAATTTATTTATGCAGGAGATTTTAATCAGTAATCTGTTGCAGTGTAACTTGTACAATAGTGTTTGGAAACGTTGGGTTTGATCTGCAGTGGATTGTGGGAAACCTCAGAGCTAGTTACACTGGTGGGGAACATGTGTCTATTAAAATAAGGAACCTCCCAATCTTCCTCTGCTAAAGGAGCACAATGTTATTGTACGGTTAACAGAGTTAATGCAAAGATGAGCTTGAGTTGAGTTGTTTTATTTATGAATGAAAAGAAGGCAATATTTATTATTTCTTCTATTTTACAGTTAAATTATTATTTATGTAACCAAGGAGTTTTTGTAATCTTAAATGTGGCAGAAGCTTTTTGTTCCTACGTGAACTGCCGACCTCTTGCACTTCAATAAAAAAAGACCTTGTGGAATTTGGCATATTTGTTTTTTCAGGAGTTTTTTGGAGGTTATTTTTCTTCTAGTAGTTTGCATGAACTTCCCCTGCAAGTGTAGTCTTTTG